TCCCACATGAGAAGCATCCACATATATTTTTCAACTTTCACATACATGAACAATCTTACATATGGTCATATAATTTGCAATAGAAGTGTTAGTAAATTTGAATGTAATTTCAATACCTAAGAAGTAGAGGCGAAGCCAGGAATTTAAGTGTATGGGTTCTGTCGTTTTGAATTTTAAGACAAGTCCGCGACCTCTAGCTAATATACATAATTATAATACTAAGAAACGAGTATCTAATATTTAATATTTATTTAAAAAGTAACGACCACTTAACATTATATTATAATTATACTTGACGACTTGTCAGGTTTTGTAAACAAAAAATGATCACATCATTAGGCAGGTCTTTAAGTTTCAACATTTTATTCTCTAAATAACAAACTGAACAATCATTCAAAAAGTTATTACCAATGCAAAACTTCATAAAACTAAAAGTTCTTTCTACAATTGCAGTAGCCAAAGAAAATATCAAATTTCAAGCAAATAAACAAGTCTTCATATCTGGTGAATAATTGGAATCAAAATTTTTAAAACCAAGTTAATATTTACTTAAAAAATCAAAAGATATCCCCGGTGCAAAACTTCATAAAACTAAAAGTTCTTTCTACAGTTGTAGTAGCCAAGGAAAATATCAAATTTAAGCAAATAAATAAATCTCCATATCCCGTGAATATTTGGAATCAAAATTCTTAAAACCAAGTTAATATTTACTTAAAAAATCAAAAGATAAAAGGAAGGCAAACAAATAAAAGTAGAAAATATGACTATTTGGCATTTTTGATTTTGATTTTAAACTATGGCTGTCCAACGGGACGGGCCGGCCCATCCCGTCCCGCGTCCCGTCCCGGTCCCGTCCCGTCCCGTCCCGTCCCGCTTCAAGTTAAATGGGATGGGCCAATGTCTGGCGGGACACGGGATGGGACGGGACGGCCATTTCGTCCCGTTTGTCCCGTCCCGTTTCGTCCCGTCCCGTCCCGCGTCCCGCCAGTTATTTTTTTAAAAAAAACTAGCCGTTGGGCAACGGCTTAAATGGCAAAAATAGCCGTTGCCAACGGTCCAAACAGCCCCTACAGCCCCCAAACACCCCTACCCCTCCCCCCCAAACTTTTAATATAACCCCTAAGTTTATTAAATTACACTTTGGCCCTATTTTCTACTATAAATACCCCCATTCTTCTTCATTTTTTCCCACAAAAAATCAATCTTCTCTCTCAAATCTCTTACATTCTAATATTCTATCTTATTCTATATTATTCTCTCAATTTTGTTACTATCAAGTATCAACTATCAACTATCAAGTATCAAGTGATAACTCTCAAGTTTCAACTTTCAAGTATTTGGGCAAATTTTTTGGAGCAACTTTCA